GTTGGGGGAGAAAATTAGGCTCATCCTTGACAACGACCCAGACAAGCATCGGTGTGAAGCTTTTCTACTAACATAAGTGTTAAAAAACCTAATATTATTGATATTTCTCTTAATTATTAATTGTGTGTGCATACCATCATAAAATTAAGATGTTATTTTTACTACAACGTACGTATTGTGTCGGAAAAAGTGGAGTTTGGGGGTTGGCCCAGTCTCTATTTCAATTAATCCCATATGTTCTGTTATTTCATTTACGCGTTTCTCGTTTTACGCGGGCCTCCACGGGTTCAATTGACCGCGTAAATGCAGACTATACTGTACAGTAATGACCAATCAAACTACAACACTGTATGGACAAGATAACCAAGAACTGACTGTAACACAAAGTGGATGTCTTAGCTTAATAAAAATTAAAATGCACAGAGATCCTTATACCTGTACATCTATCTTACATTATAAGAGGGCAGAGAATAATTGCTTTTGATAATTTAGAATTTTAAAATGCTGCCTAACATATACAAATTTTGAATACCTTTTTAAAAATTTTAATCTACAGTATAATATTATGAAGTAAAACTCACTTCACGCATCGCCCTGTTCAGAATATAGTACAGTATAATACGCTATGTCTCTATGGCAGAACAAGCAATGTGAAATTCTTTGAACATTCTATCAATTTTTTCATTTTGATAATCTGCTCTAGTAGCACATAACTGAAAAAGATGTGACAATGCTTGATCAACATTTAATATAAGGAATATTAGTCACAATCATGCAACAGTTTCATAGAAGCATGTTTACGTCTGTAATATTGACACAAATTACTTGCAGCTCGTCAAGTAGGACTGGCCACTGAGTATGAGGACGGGATGACTGGAGATTGACAGACATGTGACACTGGCATGACAACACCAGCCAGACATGGGCAGATACAAGCTAAGTTCACAAGTGGGCGTCACTATATCAACTCTCAAATACAACTTTAGGCTGATAATTTAGGTTTTACATGCTTAGAGGTGCACAAAACAAAAAGTGTGCCAAAAAAAGGGGTAATTTACAAAAAAGCTCAAAAATGTGCAAAAATCCTGTAAAAATGTTAAAAGAAAAAATCACTCAAAAACACTACCAAATTTCAAAATTTGACACAGTAAACTTTCCACAACTGAAAACACTATACTGTAGGTTTTTAAAAATTTTATAATTTTCCTTTTAGATGTGTCACTGATTATTTAATATAATCTATAGCCTTCAGTTAGGTGGACTTGGTGACATAACTCCTAAGAAGTAAATGAAATTGCATTCCTTCAGTGAAATACCGGGTAATAGTTGTTTTAATAGCTAAAAATTCACATATATATATATATATATATATATATATATATATATATATATATATATATATATATATATATATATATATATATATATATATATATATATATATATATATATATATATATATATATATATATATATATATATATATATATATATATATATATATATATATATATATATATATATATATATATATATATATATATATATACAGTACATATATCTATATATATATATATATATAGTGTTAAGGTTTTCTTAGGGCAAAGGGTCTATAAGCTAGCTGTCTTCTCAAGCTTTTAAGTAAATAAAACCCAAGTAAACTCATTCTTCAAAATGCTGAAATATAATTCAAATCTTTCTATAGAAAATAAGATCTGAAAAGTTTAGAATTATTAATGTTACTCAATGAAACTGAAGGGTAAGTGTAATAAGGAAGTGGTCATATATTTATCTCTAATAGAAATAATATAAGCACATCTTCATTGAGAAACAAAGATTAAATTAATTACTTTTAAGAAAATATCTTACAACATAATAATTGCTACTCTACTGGTTTTTAATTAACTTCAAATCATTTCTACCATACATACATTGCCATAAATACTGGCTCTAACAAAGGGTAGTCATATCTCTGATTTTGCATATTTTTCAAATACTGTATTTACACTGCTGCCACAGAGTAATCTAAAGAAGCGGGATAATGGTGGCTCACACCCAGGGTGGCAGTGTCTAGATCTGTGCACATCAAGACGAAACTCTACAAATACAAAGACAGAACCCTGGTTCTCATATTAAGAAGACATTACTCAACATGACATCATAGTGACTTTAAGCAAATTTCTTTTAATTGTACTGCAGATATATAATCTCAATATGATGATTCCCATTTCTGTCACAAATAAAAGCAAAGCTTCATTAATAAAAGTTTATTATAAAGTTAAAAGAATACTGTATACTTCTTTCTGTTAAACTCTGATCCTGTGTCACTGAAACATTATGTACGTATCTAGTTTGCAATATAAGGTTCCTGCCTTCATACAAACTCTGACACAAATACTAATTTCCAGATGGTATATTTCTATTGAAAATTATAGTTAAGTGAAGTACTTTGTTGTATGACAAATAAAAGAAACACTTTGAGATAACTAAATACATATCCATTGAACATACCAGTGCTCAAAAGTCCAACTTATCTCAAAATTTGGTTCCCAGCTTCAAATATTTACCTGAGGTATTTCAATTGGGTGTTACACAAAGAGTGTAATGAAATTTTGGTATAAAAGCTTTAAAAAATGCAGTATACACAAAAGACCTTCCGAGGATTTATTCTTTGCTATACAAGTCCTTACAACTGTATCAGTGCCAGACAGGTACCAAGGCTCTTGGTCCAACAGGTTGAGTAAGGATCATATTAGTTTTACATAAATTAGGACTGTTATGAAATTCTCAGAAATTGGCTACACAGTACAGTACAGTATACGTATTAAAAAAAGAGTACTGTATGTGCTTTAATTATTAAACACACCATTCTTTCTAAATAATTCAAGAAACTTGTTCACTACTATACTAAACAAGTGTCTATTGCATCTACTTAAGGATCAGATTTTATATATACAGCTCCTCGCCGACTTACGACGGGGTTAGGGACCCAAATCCAGGTCGTAAGTCAAAATGGTTGTATGTCGAAAATACTAAAATAATACATAGAAAATCTAAAATGAGTGTCTCTTTTTATCTCATCACCACAAAACTCTCACTTTTAAGCTTGCCCTAGACTACTGTTAAGCCAGATCACCAAATTGTCTCCCAGTGCTGGAGGTATTTGGGTAAGGCTTAACAGGATATTCTTTGCCCCTTCATGTGTATCATTCAACTTTTTTCCCTCATTTTACACTGAACTATATATCATTGACTTTCATAGGATGCAATAGACATATGTCATAAGTAGTTACTTCAACAATGAAGAAGTAAAAATTGTATTGGTATTTATCATATTCTCATGAGGAAGTTATCTGACTGCAACGTGAAGATAAGGACAGTACCTGTACAGAACAGTAAACATAAAATGAAAAGAGTAGAGAATACTGTAGTTATAGGAAGCTTTACTTGTGAGGAAAAAAAAGTCATGCACCACAAACAAGATCTGCAATGCTAGTACAGTATATATATATATATATATATATATATATATATATATATATATATATATATATATATATATATATATATATATATATATATATATATATATATATATATATATATATATATATATATATATATATATATATATATATATATATATATATATATATATATATATATATATATATATATATATATATATATATATATATATATATGTATATATATATATATAGAAGTAGGATGAAACCCATGTACAAATATAGAAGTTCTATGATGAAAATAAATTTACAATCAGAAAAAGTTAGTAGAGTAAAGTACAGTATTGTACAGTACAATGATTTGAAATTTACAGACAATGGCAGAAAAGTTCTTTGCACACAGTGATGGAAATTACATGCAGGGAAAGCTAAATTCTTAGTAGGATTGAAATTTAAAAGCAGTGAAAGCAAAGTTAGTATAAGGGTTTAACAATCAATGAAGCTCACATACACAATTATGAAGAGATTGACAAAAAATGGTGTACAGGTGTATTAGAGAATGTTACTGAACAAGTTTAGAAGAGTGTCTCAGAGAAGTTTAAACAAGCCTCATTGGCTAGTAAGCTGAAGAACAGTGAAGAGGAAAAGTAAGTATGACAACATATCTGCACGATGTTAAGTGTTATTATGTAAAACAAAGAAAAATGGTTTGACAGCCTATATATCATAGGTACAGCATGTGATTAGTAAAGTAAATTAATAAATAATTTTACATGAAAGGTGTCAAAGAAGGTTCACTGGTTCATACAGTTTGCTTTGTGTTATTTAAAGATTTTAGGGAAAATGTTAGAAAAAGGATTCTGAAAGTGGCAAGTCAGAAAACTTGGCTCTTCTTTGGTATTATCAATTAATGATGTAATACAATATTTGTTACTATATAGAACCTGCCTTACTGGTTCAAGTAATCCCTGAAGGGCAAGTAAAACTATACTGTAATCTATAAGATGTGAATTAATATCTTTACTATAAACAATATGACCAAATAATCATACAATAATGAATCACAAACAGTCCGTGAAACATAGCTGTGTCCAATAAACTTGTAGTTGTCCATAAGACACATACGGTACAGTATCTATTTATAGAACCCAATCCTGTATGTTAATCCTCAGTGAGAAGGAAGACATTATACTGTGATATTTTTTTTTCCAATGGTATGCTCAATGTTTTTATTTCAGTTCAGAGGAAAGCCTCTTGAACACCAAAATGTGGCCTTGGGTGAAAAAATAAAAATAAAAATATGAAAATTAATATTAAACCATCTAGAAAAATAAACTAGTGGTAGGGGTACTGTGCTATACACATTATTGTACAATTAAATGTTATTTGCTTTGAAAAACCTATTTGCCTTCACCTGGGTCTCAACTTTAGAAATTTATAGAGAAAAGCGCTGTTTTAGGACCTTTCTTTTTTTAATTCTTGACCTGTAGCTTAATGAATAAACAAAAATACAGAAAATTATTGTAATCCTACCCAGATTTTCCATGCTCTGTGTAAGGAGCGCTTCAAAGGTGTGAAGGCTGTAGCTCTCTGCATCCATGCCCTTCGCCAATGTGTTCCGCAGATGCATTTCATATTCTTGTAGTAGCTGACTGGTGGGTGAACTTGGTGTTGCCACATTATTTTCAAAGTCTGAGTTACCTGTGAAGGAGCACATCTGTTAGTGTGTTATTATGAAGAAATAACTAGAGCTTATCATCAAGATGTCAATGCATATATTAATATGTACTTAATCTGGTGAAATTTTTTTTTTATTTAATTTCAGCAAAAATCACAGTTATTTTAATGCGAAAACAAGTTTTGATTTGAGATGGCACCATCTATCTATAAATAATGCTTTTGTGAGTTCAGGCTTTTATTTCAAACATAACATCTTCAGTTTTTCAACATATCATAGTTATGGTATTTATTTAAAGAGTTTGCTCAAGAAAAAATTCAAATAATTTTTATTGCATTACTATACTTCCTATTGAAATATCTCCCAAAAGAATGAATAAAATGTGCAAATGACCAAAGACATCGAAAGAGCAAAGAATTTTGTCATCCATATGTCTGAACTATCTTCATATTTCGGACAAATGTCTTATAATGTAAATGTGTCACCAACATGGAAAAAATGTGGCTGTGTGGATGTCAAAGTGAAGAGCTTTACAATGAAGGAGTCATCATGTATACGTACAGTACGTACTTCACCACCCGGGGCAGATCAACATTAACTGTAAACAATTAAAACCATTGTTCTTGGAACAGCAGCAGCTGATAAGACTTCTGCACCTCCACTTAAAAGTTTGGCTAATTTGGAACAAAATTAACACTATGTTGTAACTTTGACTCATCATATCAATAATGGAAAAGTGATCTTGACAGAAAATTGTAACATAAGAAATATTCTAACTTGGCTCCTTCATTTGTGTCTATATAAAGTACAATTAAGGAAAAAGTTCACTTGAAACATATGTAGAAGACTTTGAATACACCAACAAAATGTAACACAGCTATATGTAATATATACCAAGATAAATATCATAATAGCACAACTTTACTTTACTGATACAGTGTTCTTAAGGCCACTATATCTTCAAGGGCAAAGTATTATAGAAACAACTACATGAAAACACTGATATCATGAAGTAATATTAAACCATGCACTCCTCTTATATTTACACTGTGTAATAGCAAACGCCCTAACAAAGTCACTTGTCTAGAAATATCCTGAAAAAAATAAAATAAAAAGTACATTGTCACTCATCACGCTGGCAGTAAGCAGGATATTTATCAGAACTGTACTGTGTAGTTCGCTTCAGGTGTCTGCATTAAGAATACCATTTCCTGCATCCCTCTGAGCATTCTCAGTTCTTTAAGTTCAACAGAAGTACTGTATAGTACTCTAAAACAAGTAAAGAGAGATATCTAAATAACTTTAAGCAGAGTACACAAATGCCTAATACCCTGTACACTATTGTATATATGATTTTATGTGCAGTTGCAAATGAAGCTTATTATCTTTTATCAGGAGTTGTAAGTAATACCAAATATAATGTAGAATGCAATGTGGTAAACTAGTTTAAAAAATTAAACCAAAAGCAATACACCAGTGAGTGGACAAACATTGGCTTTGTCCTTCTGTGAAAATATCTTTGTTGTCGACAATTTCAAAGTGAGACTTCCAAGTTTAATTATTGTACTGTAGTATTATGTCAAAACACTCACAGTTGTTTTCGTACTGTTATTTTTACTAAAAAGAATTAATGCATGAATTTTCACTGAAGACTGAACAATATGTTATGGTACTTTGCCATCATTGATGTCAAGTTCCTCAGCTCAATTGATGGAATATATATATATATATATATATATATATATATATATATATATATATATATATATTATTTTATATATATATATATATATATATATATATATATATATATATATATATATATATATATATATATATTATTTTATATAATTACCTTTATTGCTGAATGAAACTTTAAAATGTGATGCATTTCATAAACAAAATGATACATTAAAAATTGAAAAAATCAAATAAATTCTAAATGATAAGATGTAAGGTTAGTTTAACAAGTGTTTTACTGTACTATACTTGCTGTTGTTTTTTGTCTTGTATCACCTACCAATAATGTCTTATACTGTACTGTACTGCCATCGTTTGGTCTCAATACTTGTTTGTTGCAACTTATCCAAAGTTTAACTTAATTCTTATAATCTTAACATCTAACTAAGGAACACTCATACCATTCCTTACTAAAAGTACTTTGTAAACAAATACTGTAGTGTTGTACTGTTGAAGCTTATATGTTGGAGGTAATCTGAACAATGACAAGTGCATCTCCAACCGTACTTTAACTAATACTGTAGTTATACTGGGGCAATTATTCAGTACTTATTGCCACCCTCTAAGGGGGGCGCTCCCCAAAAGAGTGAGGCATCACAGATAAATATTACAGTAATGTTTCTATAAAGATGTAGGACCAATAAAGTAATCAAATACTGAAATATATCTTACAAGCAACAACCACAGCCTCATCTCTAGTACTTTATGACAATACAGTACTGCATCTAATATACTGTACAGTACAGTACTGCAATATGTTAACAGTTAACCACTACTGTAACTCATATACTGTATCATACAAATCTATTATTGTATACAGCATAATGTTTATGACTAAGGGCAATGCTAATACTGCCTGCAATGTTATACACACTAGGAGCCCCACTGCTAATGTATATACCAACTTCAATTCACTAATACACTACATTATACTATTACTACAATTACTCAGCATGACTCACCCTCATGAAATGAAGCCAGGGAAATTCTTCACTACTAAAATAATCAATGCACACTGTAAAATAAAACTGTATCACTGTCTTTATACCCAGCAGTGTTCTGCCTCATATGTAACAAGGCACTCATTCACATCCTCATATTCACACATTTTACTGCATTAACTAGCTCAATCAGCCTCAGCCCTGCCTGATCCAAGTTTTCCATCAGGAGAACTTTTTTGCCCAGAACAGTCCAGCCCAGTTCTTGATCACCCTTATGGTACAGAGTCTACCTTACCATTCAGCCCCTATACTTCATCACTCACACTATCCATATTCAATCTTCCTTTCCATTTACGGTATACTGTACAAATAAAATCCATTAGCAGCTTGTTAAACCCTCAATAAAGTTAAGTACTGTACCTGTATATTATTGCAAACTGTACAACTCCTAATGTACTGTACTGTACACTACTGCACTGTACATATGATGAACATGTTTACAGGTACTGTACTTTCATAATTCTTTATGACAGCTTTGTTTCCCATCCACTATTCTGTTAAATGCAATCTTCAAATTTTCAGACATTTGAAGCCTCTCCATCTTCTCCACAACCAAAATATCTCTTATTCCAACACCTTTCTCAAATCACATCTCTCTTCTTTCTCAGACAGTATCACCTTCCCTTTCTCAAACTATTTAGCCAACCAACTCCTCTTTCTCAAATTACTTACAACCTACCATTCCCATTTAAAAATTAGCTTAAATTTTTCAATGAGCATTTCAATTTCTCATGTGCAGCAGTACCTTCTTTTACTGGCAAACGATGATAGTTTTTAGCTTTATTTCTCTTTTATTTTTTGCTAAATGAATACAGCCTCGTGCCACTCCTTTTTCTCAAAGATAATCACGTTGAAACTTAGATAAAAGGTACCTTTTTCATTCTGTAATAAGTAATAAATATTGCATGGGAATGGCTTTTCTTCCTTGATAGAAGATGAGCTGCGGTCGCCATTCTTGACCAGACCGTATAAAAAATTGTCCCAAACACAATACAGGTATCTGAGACATAATCAAAATAAAAGTCACTCAATTTCCTCACTGTGCTAAGATGTATTAATACCAAAAATAAAATCCTCATGGCACTAAATATTTCAGCTATTACAACACAAATTAGCGGAGGTTTCCTTGTGCGCGTTTACGGCTGATTCGTAAAAGAAATCATCAAATTTTTAGGATCTGTTGAATTATTCCTTTAAAATTAAATCTACGGTAAATATATAGAGAATACTTTGTAACAAATACATTGTGGTTAAGTGTTTTGTTTTGGGAAAGATTAGATTTGATGTGCTCATGATTTTGACATACTGTACGTACTTAGATTTTTTCTTAAACATTTCAATTACCAACCAGTTCTACGTCTGTAAATGTCAGATTTATGAGAGGAGAGTACAGGTATACTATTTGTAATTTGGCTTCCACATTAGTGAGACAGTGGTCACTTACTTGTACAGTACTGAGAGTTACAAATGTGAGACGATGAGGGTATACAGTACTGTACAGTACACACCAGGACACATGAAACAGAGAAACATAAAATGAGAAAGTAGAAATTAGGGAAACTACACAAAATGGGAAAGCAGAAATATACTGTAGTACTATAAACTTAGAAAGTCAGTTTGGGAATGCAGAATGAGTTATACACCACCAAGTGGAGCAGCAGTGTGAGTATGGCAAAAAAATAATGATCATTATCAATAAGAATTCTTTCTGTCTCTTTATTTTTACACTGTTTTACACAAATAGCATAGACCAACTGGTTTACTCAGTGAAAATATATATTCATTAACATACCTTGATATAAGCTAGGCATTGCATTCTGGATTGAACAAAAATATGTTTTTTAGTAATCAGTGCTTGTAATTTTTTCTTTTAATTTTTTCCACTTTTAACTCCAAATGAGGTCCCCACTTTACATCGTTTTGCACTGACATCATTGATTAACTTGAGGAAAACGACAAAAATTTCCTGCACTAACATTATTGCATTGTTTCCGACTTAATCTACTTAAACTACGACAGAACTTGAATCTTCTGCACTCCAAAGTCATTTTGCATAACATACCAGCATCTTTCTAGATGTTTCTTGGTCCTTTTGTGTGCTATCATGCTGTGAGTATAATGGCTAAGCTTCACATTCAGCATCGATTATACTATCTGGATTTATCCTTGTAATCATTCAATAATGAGTGACAAGCACTATAAAGTGCTTGTGCAGGTGGTGAGGAAAAGAAGTGTATGAGTATTACACTGAATATTAAGTCGGGCATTATAAAGAGTAGTTA